CATTGAGATTTATCTGAAGTTCATACGTGAGAACTTTACTGACATCATATCACTCAGTGGGACGAAACCAATGCAAGGAGGAAAGAATGAAATAATGATCACTGTACTGTAAGTTAAAGAAAAAAAATCAAAAGTCAAAAATTTCGAAATATATGAACCAGTAATTGTTGTTAATTAGCAAATAATTGGCCTATATTTAGCATCGATCAGGTTGTGCATATTATTGTTGGAATTCCACATAGAGGAAGCATTTCAAAGTTATCTAAGGAAAGAGAATTATCAATCAAGGCTCCTAGAAAAATGTTTTACTAACTATCACAGGCAACAGAATATTAACATATACAAGAGTAAATTTCATTTTCTGAAGTCACCTAGAAAAGTAAACAGACTCACAATTCCAACAGCTTCAGAAGTTCAAGAGAGTCAACTGGTGGTTCTAAGTTGCATTTGATTTTAAAGCAGTTTGTAACAGGGAATAGCAACGATTTGAGTATCACTCAAAATCTAGGAGCACTGTACAACTGTTTCACTCTACATTGGGATTCCTAAGCAGCAAGATCTCGTTGTAGCACACTAGTCACAAACCAAAATGAAACAAATGTCCAGTACCCTCAGATTTTCAGCGGTGCTCAACTGATGTCAGTCCATGACAAAGAAGCTTAAGAAAAAGCTACTTCAGAATGTTGTTCATGATCTTCAAAAGTTCACAGTATATCCTCCCAAATGAGTGATTTTATTTACTTTTTATTGGAATTTGCATGCAGTATGCGAAACTGACCCGTATTGAGTTCATGTTATCTTTTCGCTCTAGCATTGTTTGCAACTGGGATCAAAATTCTTTCGTAAAGTTGCCAAGATTTACGTCATACTGTGTAATCTCTCTCTAACAGTCGGAAAGTAAGTAGATATCAGATTTGTAGAAACAAATCACTGTACACTAAAAGTTGTAAACTCACTGAAAACATCATCACAACTCAAATGTTATACTGTGCTGTTTTGTTTTGTTTCATATAAGTCTAACAAGTGGTATTTTGCCTACAAAATACCTTTTAAATGAAGTCAAAAGTCATCTTTTAGGCTTCAATTGTTTTGATAAAATTAACTCTGCCAACGAAAAAATGAAATGTGAACCATTTTCACAACTGAATTCTGGCATTTACTTTGTAACTATTAGCGTATACACAAAGCGCATGAGGTAATCATGTTTTCTTATGGTATTTATATGAGTAAACTCTTGGACAATAACGTTACGCTCCATCCTTGAGGGTCATTCGCTTCGTCGAAAACAGAAAAAAGCGGCGAAAAGAATGAACGCTTTATTGTCAAGTTGAACATGTACAAAAGGTGACAGTTTATATACATTTTCGATCGCCTTGGTATGTTCTACGATTTTCTAGAAAACTCTTTCGCCAGTCTGAGACTCACATGTATGATCACATGGTTTTCGCTAACTTTCGACAAACCATGATTATTTGTTAAAGCTTTTCAGGGAATTTTAGGCTTCTTTGAGTAATCTAGGGGATATTGTATTACTCTATATAAGAGAACAATCTAAATTATTACAAAAGTCCCTCTTTTCCTAATAAACACATAAACGCCAGTTGTTTGTTTGCAAAACAAGATGTTTCCAATGAAACTTCAGGGCACTGTTTTCACTTATTGCCTGAAAAGAAGAAATATCAAGCTGTAAATCTTTTTATTTCTTTAAAAGTAAAACAAAAAAAATAGATTCTATTTTCTAGTGATTTAGATTAACTAGATAAATAGTTAGAAATGTTATCGTTAGGTATGATTAATTTAATGTTTGCTGTTGTTTACACAACAAAAGCACATGAATACATAACTTGACTAAGTTTTAAAAAACTTTACCAAACTGACACTCCGTTACAGCATGGAGAAGAAAGAAGAGCGTTAGTCTACCAATGGTACTCAAAAGAACTATTCAGTTGTATATTCAAAGGAACACTGTGTGCAGTGTTGAGGTCAAGTGAAGGGTACCAGGCAAGGCGGGCAGGCCGACTGATGAGGTTCTGAACATTCACCGACTGAGATGGCTTGGACAATTATTGCGCATGCCGAGCCATCATTTATTTTGACATGCTACACTACAGAGTAAGTTGGATTAAGTTAAAAGAAGGTTCAGAGGGGTGAGACTAAGACGTAGTACTACTTCATGAAGTCCCTGACTTTTGATCTCAGCCGTGTGGGGAGATTTAAACTACCTACCTATGGTCACCGAGATGACAGAAATCAATGGTTGGAGCACTTAAGTGACACGGCTGAAAATTGATCTCAGTGAAGCAGATGAATTCACCCTTGACGTCTTCTACAATATGAATATTTGTGGGGAAATTTATCTTCAAATTGCTTATTCTTTCATACAGTTTTGTCTACTTTCATATCATTGCTCTTTTATCCACTCATTCTTTGTATAATATTTTGAAGCAAAGTAACTTGAATTGATACACTTGTGTGCGCAGTTCTACGATGATTTCATCTGCTTGTCAAAGTAAAGCCAAGATATGAATATCAACCGCTGACTTATTTTCCGGTTCTCTTACATATGATTTTTCACTTGTGTTCATAACTATAGTAGTCAGTGTCAAGAGGATGTACAGTTAGGCTAGCTAATATTTTATGAAATGAAATTGAATGTGAGTATGGATATGCGAAACAACAATATATAATCAAATGGCTAACATCATCTAAATTCGCTACTATATTCAGAGATGTGCCGACAAAATGACATAATGATTCGGAAATGTTGTTATCTAGACAAACTAAAAGTAATCATAACACCAAAAAGTTATAATGACTCCTGTCTTATTCTGTCAGCAATTTTTTTAATCCTAGTTATTTCGTATGAAATTTGAGAAGAAAAGTAAGGTACTAATCATTTTTCATTTTTCTGAGAGATCTAGCAAAAACTGTTTTATACATTTGTTCCTATGTATAAGCAGCCATTCACTCGAATGTCAACTTTGTTCATTGATTTCTGGTTGATATTCATCATTGACAAAAGTTGGAAGAACATTGGAAACCTGTGAGCATTGAACAGCTATTTCATCCTAGCGCGGGACCCCTCCACAGTGCACACCCATGATCTTATTATGGATTCACGGTGGCGGAACCTGAAGGTTTTTGGTTCTATTCCTGGCAGGTTTATAGGTGCGCACTGCTGGAGAGTTTCAGTGTTCCTCCGACTAATGTCAGCCCATGATGAATACCGATCTGAAATCAGTAAAACCCCATATAATTCACACTGAACTTTGTTAAGAGCCATGCAGTTTCAAACTTTTGACTTCTAAAAAGCTTGACTACCAAGGAATAAAAATATTCGTGAGAAACTTAAACCTGACAATATTTTCACTGTTAATCTATCTCATATTATCAATCAAACGAAACCATAGGAAATGTAGTTAATTTTTTTAATGTGGGAGTAAATTCTGTTCAAGATTAGTCAGTGTTAATAAACAACTCAGTTTGTTTAAAACTGATAGGTTTCAAAAGATGTTTCATAATGGAATACCCTTAGCCAAACATAGTAACTCTACAGAGCTACTGTCTCCCATTTCAGTACTTCAGTTTCCCATATAGCTAACATTACAGTTGTGACACACACACACACATTAGTCCTAAACAAGGATGAACAGATTCGCACTACTTTCATGGAGCTCTAATAAGTATAGTGATGCATAATGAAAACATCTTCGATGTTTAATCAATGTTTAATAGTTTCCTAAAGTTATGCTTCAGAATTCTTAGCGTTTCGTTTAAGACCTGACTTCTGCCTACCTCATAGATTCAGCGTTAGATATAATTTTGTAAATACAACACTGATTTATTGGCAGAACATCCTTAATTTTTGACGAATTAACGGATCACTCTTTCTACACTTATTGAAAAAAATACGTCACTTAATATTGTGCTGAATATTTTCTAGAATAATAAATGCCAAAAAGAAAGTGATCACTAGTAGTAGTTAGTATGAAATTTCGATATATTTAGACGCTCCTAAAGGTGAAACATGATCTCTTCTATCAGAATGCTTTACTAAAAATAATAAACTGCTAGAAAGTACACATGACAATCTATAGTTTTTGACAGTTTCATGAGAGCTATTCACATTCCTAATGATTATTTTGTTTGTTCGAGGAAATTAACAGTTAAATATTTTAACACCTTTAGCCGACAAATAATTTTAAATTATACAGTTCAACTAAATCTAACTAACTAAACTGCTTGTATCAGATTTCAATATCTACAATCATTAGTTTGATGGCCTCACATAGAAATCTTATTTTAGCCGTATAAAGTGAAGTAGATACTTATGCAGTTTTTACACATAGTCGAAACGATTAATCAATCAACCTAGATTTACCAAATTTAATTAAAATTCATACTACCCGTTTAGTGTAAGCTCTTGAATATCAGGAGACAACTCTTGAGAAAAAGTCTAGGAATTATCGCATAACACAGGAACAGAGTTAGGACTTTATCAATATTCTCCTGACATAATAATATGAAAGACTAGTAAATTCACATTTTTAAACTGATTAAAGGAATCAAAGCGGCTTAGATCACTTTTCTGTGATGATCGAAATCTAACACCACAATGAACCTATCACCTGTAATATTTTTAGATTTTTTAGATGCAAATCTGACTGCTTTGACAGTTCAGTAGAAAAACGCTTCTACTTTTTCCTTTCTGTCTGATAGTAGTAGTTAGTATGCCTCACTTCTCAGTGTCGAAACAAATAGATGCATTAAATCATGTACAGTTACGTAGTAATATTATACTAATACTCTAATTCACCTATTATTTATCCAAATAATCACTTTACTACAAGGTCATGTTTATTCACTCATGCAATCAGTTAGTCACTGAATCATTTCATGGAATAAGGTTATTTTCAAAATAAAAATTTCTCCCCAATTATTATTTTTTAATTAGTTTTCCAGATCACTTTTTATTGTTTCAATTTTATTATCCCTTCCAGATAGCAACTTTGTATTGGGCAATGCACAAGTACACGATTATCCAATTGTCTACTGTTCGGATGGATTTGTTGAACTAACTGGATATAACCGATCACAAATTATGTCAAGATGTTGCTCATGCAGTTTTCTTTGGGGTGAAAAAACTAACGATGAAGCAAAACAGTCAATATTAAATACACTGAGAAATAAATGTGAACTACAAATCGAAATTCAGTTTCACAAGAAAACAGGTAAGGAAGTTATGCTTGATATTAAATGTAAGACTTCCGCAAATTGATTTAACCTAATGATGTAGGCTTACTAGCAAAATCTTGTGGACTGTTTGTTCCTGGACATTAAATTCTAGTAAACCTCATGAGAATTATTATTGTGAAAAAAACCGTTTTCACAAATTACGTCACGTCCATGTCCGACAAATCATCGCTACCTTCCCTCTTAAGCAGCCATCAATGATAGTGAAATTCTGTGGTTTCTTTAGGATTCTGAACGATATCCGACTGCTCAATAGACTATGGAAGTATTTTTTTAAGTCTCGAAATGTAGGTCCCAATTCCATTGATAGCTTACAGCCATTTTCTTTAATGCATCATTATTTGAAAAGTCACTTGAAATGTAAAACTATCTAGAAACTTGTTACATACTCTAAGTCTTACAACCTATACATAAGGATGCAGTTTGAATGAAACAATATAATCAAGTAAATAATACTGTATCATTGTGCGCTAAATATCAAATAAACAAATCTAATATGGAATATGAAAGATTCCCTAACGTCATCATCCATTGGTAGACTACTAAACTCGATATCTATTGTAGGTGAGTTTTTGCACGGAAACTTAGTCTTTCTTTGATCTGTGAGCTTCTTTAGCCGTGACTCTTGGCAAAACTACACATCTCTTGAACTATTTAGGGCGACGAAATACTGCTACGTTTTACTACTGTTAAAAAAGATGAAGGGTTTAAACATCACTGGAGGTAATAAACTGAAAGGCTTATTCTACTAGAATTTCAACTGCTTCAGAAATGTTAAACAACTCAAATGTCTAAGACTTGAATAAAAAAATGATAATTACGCTGTGATTACTGACGATTAGCAAAAATTTTAACTTTGTAAGAATGCAGTGTCCAAAGCGACATAATGCTATCGGAATAGGTAAAAATTACCTCGTGGTGTACTTTTTCGCGGTTGCATACAACAGCAATTTTAAGATATTATGAAGAGTAGATGAGGTTTCATGCAATAACAGACAGTCTGCACTAGGATAAAGAAGTACACACTTAAGGAATCAAGTTACGACAAACACAAGAGAAGGATTTGTATTCAGGTATTTTGATAATATATCATACGGAAGTTGATACAATTTCTTATGTCATTTATGATGGAAAACAAGAGTGTATAGACAAATTTCTCAATCTCCTGAGTTGTTTCAAAATAATTTCAGAAGTTGGAGAGCAAAGTATATTGAGATTCAATAACACACCAGTCAACTAAGTTTACATTTTTACTCTCTGAAAATTTGTTGTCATGAAAAAACCCAGTTTCATAAGGGTGATCTATGATTTGTTATGAACTAGATATTGTCTCTTGTATTCAAACAAACAGTCATTTTTATCAACACAACAAAATGAAGATTATTAAACAGTTGTGAACAATAACTGGAATGTCTTGGTTGTATTGTGTTCTCTAAGCTTTCATCGTCTTTCTGGACGACATCATCAGCACCAACTTCGGTATGAAGTGAGCTGTCAATATCTTTCCGTGAGTGGTTTAGTGGCTTGCTCTAACGATGTGGTCTGTGATTGGTTGTTTCCCTCAGTTGTTGTGTCATTGATTGTATAGACTTTCCTGTTGACTGTTCCTCTCCTTGACCTCTGACCTTTCTGCCGTTTGTCATTTTTCTTATCATTTGACAGATTAACACAATACACACAATGCAACCAAGATCATGCACCTGAGCTACAAATATTCTCGATTACTTCAATTAATACGTAAATGATACTAAAGAGTTTTTCACTAGCTAAACTCTTCATCAGCTGCTGCATGTTGTATGCAGCGTGACAAAACTAGTCAAAAGGTTTTAAAGTACACAGAGACGTAGAAAAGATTTTAACTTGACTCATATCGCAGACAAAAATATTTTTCGGTCTATGTAACACCAATCTTTACAATATCGGATTTGTGAATGTGAGCGAAATTCATTGCAATTGCCTGTTTATCACACAAACGTATCTTAACATGCAGTATTTCTTGTCAATACTTCATTATATTTTAGTGAACGAATGTAAGTGAAAAGTAAAAATGCTAGTCAAAGAAAGGGGAAACTAATTTTCAGTATAACATAAAATTTGGTCGATGACCTACCACCTTCTAAACTGGATGGAAATATCACCTTTCGTTTTGCAATGTATCAACAAAATACGAGGCAAGGACTCTAGAAAAATATTACTTCTTGTAAGCACTTGTCAGCAAAGTTAGGCAACTATGATAGACTAACCACAGATACGAGGTAAAGCTGTCAATCGAAAATTAGTATTACTTTACGCCAGTTAACTAAAAAAACACCCAGTCGGCACCGTATAGTAAATTCAAGTTTTCGTAGTTGTAAAATCGGTTGTCCCACATTTCATAACGACTAGGTTATAAGGGTCTCGTTTGATTTAAATTTGCATCATTGACTTGTAAACGTTTATTTTAGGCAATTCATGAAGAAACACTGGAAACCAGTGAGCGCTGGACAGCTGTTTTCCCCTTGTATGGGACTCCTCAGCAGTATGCACGCTGGTGGGGTCATGGGTGTCAGTCCACGATGAATACAAACATGAAATCAATAAATAAATCCCCATAAACTTTCAAATTAAGTTAATAAAAAACAATGCCACTGCTCTTAAATAATGATGACAATACATTAAGTGGTAACCGGAAACCTGTTTAATAAAGTGGTAGCAAAAGTCAGAGATCATCTGAGAACATTGTGATAGAGGATAAAAGTCTGAAGTGTAAGAAAATCTACTCGAATCAGACAAAAGTGAAGAGAATCTTTAAATGATGAATTATTTTACAAGATTATAGTTTGAATAATTTGATTGATGGAAACTGTTTTAGCTTCCTTTACGGCACAGAAAAACAGACACATATCATATGGACCAAAATGATTGACCGAAATAAGATAGATAGTGTTGCATGTTTGGACGGCTTCGTTTGCTAAAAGCAATTCTTTCAGGGTTTCGGCAGTTTCTTGATCCCTTTAACATTTACATGTCTCCTGGTTCAACCTGCTATTGCTTGTATAGTTCTTTTCTGTTGACAGGATCAAAAAGTGCACCATGTTCTTAGTTCCCTTCATAAACTCGAATAAAATAAAAGTACAATTTATGTTTTGCGTAATACGATGATATACTCACCCCTCAACTTCTCCTCTTCCGTTACATAGAAACTAAGATGGGTTGTTCATAGGAAACGAATAAAAACCGACAAGTCATAGAAGACTGCAGAAATTGAGGAAGTGAAACGCACTAAACTGGAAGGCAAATTCATCAAAATACAAGGGGTTCTATTTAAAGATGGAGAGTATTTTAGTGTTTAGAAGCTATTATCTAGGAAAGAGATCAGTTTCCTTTAAATTCAATGAGAAAGATGGATATTAGTTTGTTGGCCATAGAGCTAGCAACCCTACCCCAGAAAAACAACCTAAACGCTAAACAAACTTCAAAGTGCAAAGAAATTATAAAACATAAAGACAAACTTATTCCTAGCTGGAATCGGAGAGACGAAATGACGCCGGTTGGTGAAAGCCTTCGAGAAGCCAATTGGTTGATGTGTCTCCTCTCTGTAGATGAAAGCGAAAGTAAGAATGGGGACATGGAATGTCCGCACCATATATGAACCGAACAAGGCTTCCCACATTGCAAGAGAGATGAAGAGGTATGGCATTCACGTGTTTGGAATCTGCGAAAGGAGATGGAATGGAAGTTGACTCTCCAAACTCTCAACTTCAGAGTCAATAATCTACTTCGATATTGTCACCCAGACAACAACCATGAGCACACTGAGTTTTGTAATGGCTATCATGATGTCTCCAAGATCATCAAAGGCTCTCATGTAGTGGGAATCAGTCTCCTCCGTGATCACAACAGCAACTTGGATTCAACTCAAAAGGAAGGGGAGTCACTATCATGCAATGCTAAGTTACGCATATACAAATAATGCAGATGAAGAGAAGGGGAGGAATTATACAGACAACTGCAATTAGTGATGAGCAAGACCCTACATCAGTTGGTGACATCAAAATTCGAATAGGTGACATGAATGCCAAACTGGGAGCAGACTACACAGGAATATAACTCATCATGGGTCGAGGAACGCTGGATGAAATGAATGAGAACGGAGAACTGTTTGCAAATCTCCACGCATTCAAAGATTTGTGATTGGGGACAGTGTGTACAAACACAAGGACATTCACAGAGCTACACATATTTCAAGATCTGATCAAGAAGGGGAGCAGATGCAGGTTCACAACGCTCACTATCTAGTTCGAGGAACCTACATTTCAAGTCAAGTTGAAAGCCTCCACAGAAGTTGGTGTTAGATCACAGTTCACGTCCAACACTCAGAACAGAAACTGAAGTACGAAACTACAAAGGACATCTTCACGTCAGCCATTAGAACAAATGGGAGACATTGAGCAACATTTTTGAAGGATCGGGCGCTGAAGAACACCAAACTCCTTGAAAAAGATGTGTAAGGAAACTCACATAACACTAATCACCATCGAGCGGAGAAAGTTAAAGGAAGTAGTCTCTTTCATCTACCTGGGCAGCATCGTTTCAACTACAGGCAGCACAGGCACAGACGAGGATGTCGAAACCAGGATCAGAAAGACAGCAAGACAGGACTACATTAATCTGAAGTCAGTGTGGAGATCTTCTGCACCGCACTCAGCACAAAGAACAACATCGGGGTTTTCAACTCCAACGTCAAGTTATGGTTGAGAAATTTGGCGCGTTACGAAAAGCATTTCCGACAAAATACAGACATGCATTAACAGCCGCCGCCCACGCTTACTCGATACTGAAGCTCAGATGGCCAGAATAATGAGAATAAGCAACAAGGAACTCTGGCAACGAACCAACCAAGGACCCATCACTCAACAACTATGCAGAATGAAGTGGAGATGGATTGGGCATGCACTGAGAAAATCAACTGGGGACATCAAGCGCCAGGCCAGGCCGA